TGTTCACATGGTAAGCCAAATCCCTGGACTATGATCTTTTTCCATATTCTCTGTTTTCCTGCAAAATATGGAAGCTTGGGAAAAGGTGAGATGAAACAAAGTGGAAGATAACATGTAAATAAAGAAAAGTGTGGATCATTTTTTTATGAAATTCAAATCTGCCAGGTTACAGCTGAGTCTTAGCTTGCCTTTGAAACTCCAAAGTGAACTTTTTCTGAGATCTTTGAGCCGGTACTGGAATCTGGAATTGGCACAGCTTAACAAAATCAAACTTGGCATGCCATGAAACTCAAAGATAGAATTTTAATACAATCCTTCTACCCAGTTTATGCTGCAGTAACAGTCAAAAACAATATAAGCAGCATTGTTTTACTCTTTTAATGGTAAAAGTCAAAGGATAAGCAAAGAAATCTGCTTAGGTGAGGCAGGAAATTTATTGCCTATCAATCCAAAATAAATTGCACCCTTTCCTGTGGCGTCCAGTAAGAAGACTTGCAGGTAATCTTAAAGACATGGAAACACTGATTTACGTGATCTGTTCTGGGTATGTAGTTGGATTGCCACAAGAAAATGTTCCATCCTCATTGCAGGCCAGTTTAGGAACTGCATTGATATTATCCACTTTTTGGTAAGTAGAGTAACTACTACATCTTAGATAAAAGTGAGTCGTTGTACTACAACCACAACTTCTATGTTAAATAATATACCTATGTAGATTACAGAATAAAAGAGCTAGCTCTGCTCAGCTCTTTGAGAGTTCTAGATGCCAATATCCTAACTACCGTGAAGGGTTTCTGACTTTTTCTCTAAGACCCTTAAACCCTGGAGAAGTTGTCAGATATGCCTCTGCCCGTAGTGCATCAGAGGTTGTTCAGCATCTGGGATGTCCTAAAGCTCTTAACTCTCCCTATGCCCAGAAATAGGGAACCTATTATTCTGCCTCAGTTCTTTATTGATTCTGCGTTAGAAACTACTTGGGAGCTTATGAAGAGTCTTAAATGCAGGTCTGTTATTCTATAATGATGTAAGCATTGGAAGAGATGAGCAGTCACATCTGGAGCCAGTACTTTACCCACACGTTCAGCTTCAACCACATAGTGAGTTATAGTAATCCGAGGTGGAGGTCACAGACATATAGATTGTTTGTCAGGATTGTTTATAGGAGGAAGAAACATAAAGCCAGATTCAAAAAAAAAAAAAAAAAAAAAGTTTATTTGCCAAAAGTGCCACCTGGAATAAATTATTTAGGCATGTGGATCCAGGTGAGCAATCTCCTCAAAATGCTTCTTTACTTGTAGTATGAATGAGAATTGGTAGACATCGCATGTTTGCGCTACTACAATTTGTTCAGCATATAATATTCTGCTGCTCTGCTTTCCTGAGATGGCATTGTTTTGGCTGAGCAGAGCATTTTAATGCCTAATCCTTAGCTTCAGAAAAAATAGGCATATTTTGCCCTTACGTTCAAGGGCTAATCCAATATTTATTCTATGAGCATGCATTACTCACATAGGTAGCACCAAGTTCACCACATAGTAAAGCAGTTGAGGCCGCATCCCTCCAAAAACATGGCAGGAACAGTATGTGGTATGATGGTGCTACTGCTCCAGTGCTTCTGATCTTCTAAATTTTTAAGTTTGCATTCAGAGCAACTGACCATAAGTGATGCTTGCTCTTTGGTTTCTTTCAGTGTCCCCCATTGAGTAAATTGCTGTTAGTTCACCCTGAAGTAACCCTCTGCCTATGGAAGACTTAAATCCAGTGTTTTATTTGTGTGAGAAGGTGTCTCAATTACTATATTATTATTAAAATTATATATATTTTGAAAGCTATCAAGAAAAAACAACAGAGTGCTGTGCATGTTCCCACAGATAAAATGTGAGGACACGCTGACTCCCTGTCTGTTTTGGTGATGCTCTCTGGGATTTCTACCAGAGACAAATTAGATGTACAGAAGGAGCTGGGGTTGTTTAGCTTGGAGAAAAGAAAGCTCAGGGGAGACTTTATTGTACTTTACAATTACCTTAAAGGAGGTTGTAGAGTGGTGGGGATCAGGCTTTTCTTCCAAGCACCAAGTGAAAGATGAAAGGAAATGGCCTCAAGTTGCACCAGGGGAGGTTTAGGTTGGATGTTAGGAGAAATTACTGAAAGAGTTGTGTGGCATTGGAATAGGCTGCCTAGGGAAGAGGTTAAGTCACCATCCCTGGAGGTTTTCAAGAAACATATAGATGTAGAACTTAGCAGAATAGTTTAGTGGTAGACTTGTCAGTGCTAGGTAAAAGGTTGGACTAGATGATCTTAGGGGCATTTTTCAACCTGAATGATTCTGTGATTCTATGATTTACTTCTACGCTTTGAAGACTCTTCTGAATTCCACTGTTTTGAAGTCACTGGAAAGATCTCATGGAATAACACTGGAGATCATCTTGTGCCATGGCCAGAGAGTATGTAAGATGGAGTGCCCTGGGCAGTCTTTGGTCTGTGGCTGTGTCTGAACCTGCGAAGCTTCAACAGATGACCTATGTCATGTTGCTGGAATTCTCTTTAATACTTTTGTAGTAGCTTTTCTTCTTGTACTGTTGGCAATAGCTAGAAATTCAAATATTGTCTTCTTTGGCAGGTCAAGGCACTATATTCTAAAGGCATGGCTTGTGTGCTTTTCTGGAGAAATTGGTCAGTTCCACTAGTAATGGGCGTAATTGTTCTTCAGTGCCTTTCACAAGACAGCAGTGACATGGATCCCTTACGTGCATAGTGCTAATGTTTTCCAGCAGCAGCTTGCTTTGTAGTTGAAGCTTTTATGTATTAGGGCAACTTGGCTCTGGACCAGCACTTTAATGTTTCATTTTCATCTATAACCAGAGTTTATGGGAATAAGAAGTGAATATTCTGGTCTTGTGAATAAGTCCAGAGAAGCGTTGGCTAATTTTCCTTTCTTAATAGCATCATTTGAGTCCATAAAACTTTTATTATTGTAAAAAGGAGTCACAGAATGAAGAGTATGAGCCTGTGAGGTAAAATTCCTATGTTTAGGATCTGTGCTGTTGAAATCAAAAAAATGTTTGTCCAAAGGGTTAATGTGAACGTATAAGATCTGCCTATTTTTTCACAGAGGTATTTTTAAAGGGTAGAAATACTGTTCAGTTGCTATATTAAATACTTGAAAATTAGTATTCTGTGCCATAGATTTTTTGTATGATTTCTCAGACTGCCTTAAGTTCTTTTTAAAAATTAAAAAAAATAAAGTCCTGTTGATATGACAGGATACTTAATAATTTCTTTAGATCTGAAATGTCTAGAGAACTGCATAAATGTAAAAATTAGTCTGGAGAACTGAATGAAAAACACATTTCCATTCCAGTTCTTGAAGATAATTCTTTGGTTGGTTGGTTGGTTGGTTGGTTTGTTGTTGTTGATGATATTAAGCTATGGTTTGAGCATTATTTTTCTCTGTGGTCCTGCTCTAAGACAGTGTTGATCTTCAGCGCTACCATAAACAACAGGCAGAAGGACCACAGCCAAAGTCAATTTAGTCCTTTGAAACTGATGTCAAAAAGGTATGTTTGCTAAGGAGTTGACATGTACCCTCCTCGTTAAATCTATTTGTGATTTTGCAATTTGTGATGAAGATGAAACAAAATCTATCTCAGTGTTTATTGAAACTGATATGCTCATCTATTACGCCAGATTCGGTGTCTCTGACTAACCAGCTCTCACATACGGCATTAGTAAATATAAGGTGTCACTCTGACATGTACGCCTGTGTTGACTTTGTTACCTTGTAATCTGTTTGGAGTGCGTTTTCTTAGAATTACCTTTCTATCACTTGTTCCCATGTGCTTTTATAGTTGACAAATCTCTTCTAAGTAACTAGGAAAACATTTCTTCCCTCCATTAACTAAACATTAAAAGCTACAGCCAGTAATGGAGGTAGGAGTTGAAAAATTCAATGAGGCATCATCTAGCTTTAGATGTTCCTATGCAAAGTAGAAATCTGTGCCCTGTACATGATGTCAAGAACCCCTGCACAGTTCATGGGAGACTGAACAGCTCTAGCATGTGGTCTGAAATGTCAGCGTGTCAGCTGGAGAACTTTCTTGGAAAAGTCAGCAGTAATAATCCTACTGAGCTGCAGACAGTTGTCTTCACCTGCTTGAATAAAATGGTTAAAGTTTTCCCTCATGGAAAGACACCCAAGAACTCAACGATATTCACTCTTTTAAGGCAATATCTTGCGGATAGAGATGGTTCTGCCTTCCATCCATCTACTGTGTTACTAGCTTGATCTGACACCTAGCCCAGAGTACAGGTCATAATTCCCACAACAGCCTGAGAAAGCTGTCTGTCCGAGAAGCACATTCTCTCACCTCACAAGAAGGTGACATGGCTAAGGAATACCTTCCTTTTGAAGAATTCAAGACTCACTGTGGCAAGACAAGGGAAGTATACATGTAGGGTTGAATTTAAAGCTTTGTATCTTCAGTGCTGCGTAAGGAAGAGATAGTCCTGTGTATGTCTCAAAAACTACACATTTAATTTGAAACAATCTTTAGATAAACTGCATAAACAATATTAAAAGCAAATGCTGCAATCCAGTATTTCTTGTTTCAAATGAGAATGTTATAAAGAATGTTATAGGACTAAAATTTATGCTTCCTCCCTCTTCCTCCTTACCTAAAATGACCAGGGAATCCCAAGTCATCAGATCAGTGAGACATCAGTGTTTCTCAGCTGGGAATTAGGTGCAGATGCCTCACTTCAGAGGAAAAGATTTTAGTTGTGAGTCTGTTACAAAAGATTCTTCATCTATCATGAAATCATTTTGCAGGATGTATGATATTGTTGGGTCTTAAGCATGCCTAGGACTGAAATTGCAAAACAGGGGGATACTGCTCTTTGTTAAAATGCTACTGACTGAATTTTATCTGTGTCCATGTAGTTGGAATATGGCACTCCATATTCTTTGTGTCAGAAATAGAGTCTAGTCATGATCACCTGAATACAGATCATCACAGCAGAGATTCCTTTATTTAATAATTAATGACTGGATACAATTGACAGAATACAGTGGCACTATGAAATATAAATCAAAAGAATTGTGATACAGGTACATTTTACATATGTAATGGAGGAACTTTACTTTTCCATTGAGCACTAAAGTTAGCCCTAATGAAAAGAGCCTGTAAAGTTGCACAAGTAATACAATTTCAGCTAAATATTTTGCTGTCTTTAAAATAACTCACATACATAACCCCAGTTTCAAATACATCTTTTGTGTGTTTAAATGTGTGTTTTTAAGCACACATATGAAGAGAGTTCCTAACATCAATATCCAGATACAAGCTAATTAGAAAATGAAAGGTTTATAAGACAGAAAGTTACAAGAGATGTTTTTGTGACTGAGGTTTAGTTAAACCTGAATATAAATGGATTTCTTCGCATTTTGAGACACAGATGGTTGAGCAGTGCAGCATTGTTTTTTAAAGTCAGACTGAACAACACAGGGTTCACTTCATATTTCCTGTATAAAGAAATTATTTTATCCAACACTGATAAACGGATTCTCAATGCTAATCTCATAAATTTGAACTTTTTCCTCTTAACAGTTTGAAGATTAAGAATATTAATACACTACTCTCAAAATACCTACATAGATATACTAAACTCTGCAAATTGCTATACTGATACAGAAGATCCTTCTGATTAGCGAACTACCCAAATTTCCACTTTTTGTTTCTGTTGTATTTTGTCCAAGGGTGATTTAGTAATGAGATAGCATTTAATTGCAAAATAAGGATTTATTTTTATTTTTGTTTTTGTTTTTATTTTTATTTTTATTTTTATTTTGGCTTTGTGCAAATCCTAAAGAAAGAGAAAATGTCTAGTGTAATAATTGTTTAAAATCTCTAAAACTCTATCCAATATAACTGCACACCAAAGATTCTTGCTCTTCTTATGTCAGAAATTTGAATTTCTAAATTTTGTGCCTTTGTTCTCAATCAATCGTGGTCAAAACTGGAACTGAGTTCAGTGTCACCACTATTTCATTCCTGATACTATTTGTTATGTGAGTTACATTTAGCAGGAAGTCAGAAAAAAATCAAACTAATCAAATTCAAAATCAAATTAATTAATCAGATGCTATCATAACTGGTTAATACATACGCTGCTTATGGTAATCGTAGTATAACAAATACCAGTCCATTACTGTGTGCCGACCAGAACCTGATCATTACAAAGATTGAACAAAGACAACCAATCACTAATAAATAGAAGCTTAAATCTAGAAAAGCAACTCAGCTATAGGGAGAAATCCAGAACTCATTGCCACAAAGTGGGATCCAGAGTGGTGGGTTAGCGCCCGTGACTCCCAGTACAGTGCATGGGGAGAATAGGGCACTTCAGGTACTGCCTAGAGACAATGAATAGGAAACAGAGATGATGAGAGGGGTTGTATGTTCTCTCTTGAGAACTTTGTTTCAGCCCCAAACAAGTTTTTTTTTTTTTTTTCTCCACTGGGCATTCATACCACAGAACATTGTCTAAAATGGTGGTTTTCACATTGACAAGGCTCACTCGTTTCTTTCAGAAGCATCTCAGAGGAGAAAGAATAACCAGTTTCAACAACAACATACTGGTCAAGACAAAAGCCTGGGTAGTCAGAATTTAATTCCCCTACATACTGAGAGTGGCTGTAATCGTGATCTCTCCCTGTACCACACAAAGTGCTCTGACATCAAACTACAGGCAGCCTACCTGTACATACTACCTCACAAATACCCCATTAGGTACTTGTAGAGCAACCTTGTGTACAAAACTCCCACATATGTGCTTTCTTTCATCACTGCTCTCTGAAATGTATCCAAGTGAATTCTTTTTTTTCCTTTCTGTCAGATGAATCCAGATCCCCAGGATGGCTTTCAAAGTTTGCCACTGCTAGGCATGTTGAAAGGCCAGATGCATGCCAATACAGCATTTATACCTGTCATGTGAGTCTACAGATATAGTAAATGTGCAACTCAGGACAGATCTGTGAATCTACACAAATGAAAGAGAGTAGAGAGTACTTTTTTTTTTTTTTTTAATGCTTGTGAAAGTTTTAATATGTGTTAATAAATATAAAAATCTTTTGTATGCTCAACTACAAAATTCCATAATTTATCGTAGGTTTTCTGATATATATTTTATTATCGCATATGTACAACAGGCTGGCTTTCAAGAATAGCCTTAAAAAGCATGAGCAATGGAGTAGTTCATCTGTGACTTTTATAATGGACCATAAATGTTTCAGAAGAATGGTCTGGCGAGGGACTTCTTGACTCATGTTTTGTTCTGCAGGGTCTGAAAATAAAGAATGTGCATGTATTTAACAATAAACTATACAGTTTTATTTTGAACTTTGGTTTAATTGAAATCAGTGGCAAAATTCCCCTCCTTTTATGATGAACACTGTGGTATAAAGTAATTCCCTTCACCATTATTAATGTGCTGTTCTTTCTTCCATCCCCTGTATTCTTTAAATCTGAGTTTTATTTATATGCTGATATTCCTGTAACTGCAAGCCTAAAAAGAAATCCTTTGTGCCCATATATCCTTGACTTGCCTTTTGCATTTTTCTGCATGATTCGTCTTTGATCTGCCTCTAAATTTAATAATGAAATTCGACTCAATATCCCTCCCACTATATATGGCTCCTGCTACATCATGTTCTGTTACCTATCATCTGACAGTGTAATTCTTGAATTCTGGCCATTTAATTTGGTCCAAGAAAATGTATCATTTAAGAAAAGGCCACGTTCATTTGACTAAGTGAATGCACATTTCTGTTTTCTTACTGAGCACTGGCATATGGGCAGTTTTTTATACTGTGTGTGGGAATGTTTACAGAATCCTATCAGCAAAAATGGTATTTGGCAAGAATATTAACTTCAATAGCAGCATTCACTGTTTGGTTTTTAAATATGTTATAATACTGAATATTCTCATTTCCTTTCTGCATTACCTCTGCCTGCTACAGAGCTAGAAAGGTAGCCTTGCAGAATTTTTGAATTCAGATTTCACCTTCTCCTGCCTTGGGACAGGAAATGAAACCTCCTAAAGCCTGGGATCTCTGTATGAATGGAGGGCATTGTAGATATGCATCATATTTCACTTCTTCCTGCTGACACCCACAATGTCAGTTCTTTCCATCACTGGGACATGCTGAACTGTTTTTAAAGACAATCACAGTGCCAACCTTTCAACTAAATCAAAACATTTTATTTTCTGCTTTTCCAGTTTCCTAGAACCAAAGATTAATACTCCTATCAAATTACCTGATCTTTAGGAGAGTCAACAGGACTATTCCTAGGATGAGAACTATGCAGGAGGAATAGGCAATAATGTAGACTGTTTCACCTATAAGCCAAAACCAGAAAGCAGACAAGAAACATTTACTTCTGTGACAAGAATCAGGTTTGAGATCTGAATTGGAATACATACATGTACATATGCAAACTAAATTAGCAATCAATTCTGATGCCAATAATTAAAAGGAGGAAAAAAGCCTAGGTGGTATGCCAAAGGTAGGAATTACTCTTCCTTCATCAGCTGGTGCAAAATCATTTTCAGGCTCCTCTTAGTAAATACCAGCTCCATGTGAAGTGATACACTTCATATGTGTACCACTACCTTTTACTGTACCCCAGGGAAACTGCAACAGCTTGTTACTCTGATTTGTCTTTTGGAGTATTTTCCCTGTTGATTTTGAGGTGTTAATTTTATTCGATGTATTGAAAGAAATCTGGCTCTTACATATCTGCTAGGTTTCTTTTCCACATATTACCATAATTGCAGTGTGAAGCAATAGTCAATCTAGAATCAAATTAATGTGAAATGGGATCTAACATTGTGTTTCTGGGCCTCGTGCCCATGGAGTTTCCTCTTTCTCTTAGGCTGCTCACCAAGAAGTCACTTAGGCAGTTTACATGCTAAAAATTCCAACTGTTGAACAACTGGGAATTGTTTCAACTTTTGTTTCCCAAATGAGGGGAAACTTGTTTTTGCTGGTGGAAGAAATGTAGGAGTTTTGATCAAATATTCTGAAGAAAAAAAAAAGGTCTTGGTACAAAACATCAGCCCAGAACTTGGCATCAAAGGGTACAGAAATTAGACGACAAGAGGACTCAAAATCAGAGCCACAAGAATAAAGAATGAAAATTTTTACTTACTTACTTTTACTTTACTTACTAAGTAAGGTTTTCCACCTTACTTAGTCAGGGAAACACCCACCAAGGAAGATGCAGAGTCTCAGCCCCATCACTTACCTGAGGTGGGAGAAGGTCAAATTCTGGTCTCTGAATCAATTATGATTATTACGTAGTACATGTTTGTGTTTGTGCATACACACACACAAGCTATTGAAAAATACTTAATGTGGTGAATATTTGATGGAAGAGGGTGTATTTTGGTCCCAGTGCAGGACTGCTAATACCATATGTTCAAAGATGGTGTCCCTCCTCTCAAGTTATGACAGCTCTTTAAAGTGATAACTTTTAGGAAAAGAATAATTTTTAGTATTTCTTTGCAGTTTTTGAATCTTCATTGTGCACTGAAGTCAATTTTTAAGACTTCCTATAACTGCAGGGGCTGTATATATATATATATATATATATACACACATACATATATATATATATATATTTAAGTGGAAAGATACTTCAGACAAATAGAAGTTTTCACAGTACCTCCCTTACCATGAGGATTGAGAAATTATTCTGAAGAACAGTCATGGGTGGTAAAAATGGAATAATCAAATTTTACCAAAATATTTTTTAAGAATTTTGAAAAAATATTGCATTCTGGTTAAATAAAACAATCTAAAATGATCAAATGAAATCCAAATGTTCTTTTTTTTTGTCAAATTCTTACAAAAAAGATATATTTTTGGTGAACTACTTTCTCGTAAAAGAGATGTTGATTATATTTTCAGTTCTGTGGGGAACACATGAAAGTTGTTAATAATGAGATCATGCTAGAACCATGTATTTTCTCCTGCCTTCTGAGAAATTAGAGAATTTGCAAGGCTGTGAGAGGGCACAGTTTGGTGACTGAAGGGCTAATTCTTCATTTCATATTTTCATTTTATATATTCTTTGTGCTTAAAGTACTTGAATGTGCCTATTTACGTTTCCTTAAAATGTTGGGGTGTCTGTTTCTTGATCGTAGAATCATCGAATCATCGAATCATCGAATCATAGAATCATAGAATCATAGAATGGCCTGGATTGAAAGATCATCTAGTTTCAACTCCTCTACTTTGGGCAGGGTTGCCAACCACTAGAACAGGCTGCCCAGAGCTGCATCCAGAAAGAAGAGCTCATCCTGACCTTTTTTAAAAATTCAAGAAACAGTTATATTAATTTTCACTATTAATCTATATCCATCCAGTTGTTGAAATGTGAAATACTGATAGCGATATTAATAAATATAAATACAAAATTTTGTCTCTGTTCATCCCAAGTCCCAACCATGAAAACCAGAATACACATGTAAATTCCTATACGACATAACAGTCTCTTATGTCTGACCCCATTTTGATCACTGTATACAAGTTATTGATCAGCTGAGTATGATCTAAAAAAGAATGTTTTAAGGCTTAAAAAACAGTACCTTAAACAAGCAATAAAAACTGAAATTAAGCACATTTGTAGTTATGGGTTTGTAAACAACTTAAGCTCTCATACTGTGCTCCCATTCACATTTAGCAGGCATCACAATGATTGAATACATGATTAAAAATTAGAATATTTTCCCACTCTTAGCAGAATTGGTTTCAAAAAAAAAAAAAAAAAAAAAAAAGTGTACTCATTTCATTACTCTTGAGAAGCAGCCGTCTCTGTTTTTTGGTTCTTCTCTTCTGCACTGAGGTGCCAATGAGCAAACCTCTTTTGGTTTCTCTGACCAGATGGAGAAAAGGATACAAATATCTGTGTGCCTTGTGAGGAATGAAAGGCACAAATGATGTGTAAAGACTTCCAATAGAAACCAGCTAAAATGTGAGATGTTTCTATCTGCATATATCAGAGAGTGAATTGACACCAGTGGAGAGCAGACATTTCCATTGCAAAGGTGCAAGGCTGTACTGGGCTGTACTGTCCTGTGGAGGTGTTTCATGCTCATGAGAAGCTAGGGGACCAACCTAGGGACAAGTCTATGGCAAAGCCAACATGACTGTGTGACAAATGTCTAACCCTTTCTTGGATAGGCTGTGAACCTCAGGGACACAACCAATGGAGCAGTAGGTACCACTGAAACACTAGATGAAGCAGTGTATATAGACATACAAACATTTCCAATGACAAAGTTTTGGTAAAGGATAGCTGTGGGCCCAGCAACTGGAACAATTAGTGGTATCAGTCTCTTGTGTAAATCTACCTGTATATGTAGTGAGATGGCTGTGAATATTGATCATATAGATGAATTCTGGATTGTGCTCAAAAATTTCTTGGCTACCTGCAGCTTCTCACAGGCTTTTTCTACATTTATAAAACAATGAGATCGGCAATGTTTCATACTTTAAAAATTAAAGCTGCTGGAGCTGAACTAATCTCAGTTCCCACAGAAGCTGGTATAATTATAGATAAACCTTGCCAATTACTTGTTTATCTAGATTCTCAGCACAGCAAAACTGCTCAGTAGAAAATATATGATAATTCTATAATTTAAGAGGAAAATAACATGAATTCCAAGAGTTTTGGGTCAAGCCCAATTTTATTGTATCTCACAAGAACCAGATAAGAGTGCTGTATACCTAACTTCTTCAGCCAAAAAATACTTTAGCTCCAAAGCTCTACACTGATGAAAGTAAGTGCTTATCTTCACACATGATTCATTTTTCAAATTAAAGTGTAAGAAGCAATCTTTTCAATTATTTGAATCTGTAAAATCATGGCAATGATTTGCATAGAATGAAGTCAAAACTAGGCTGGAAGTGCATAACTAGGTAGGCAATAAAAATATTTTCTGAAATTCAGAAAACATTTTTAGTTTATCACATTATTATTATTATTATTATTATTATTATTATTATTAATTATATTTTATAAAATGACATAAAATTCTGGCCCCATCTGAACTTCCAGAAAAAGTCTCATTAACTTTTGTATGATCAGGATTCTGCCCACATCACACCTTGTTAACCAGGCCATATCAATTGAAAGACATTTATGCTGTGTTGTCATGTACCCTCCTAGGTATGTGAACAAGAATAAATCCAGTTAAGACTGTTAATCAGCCCTCTTTTTATATTGCAAGCCAAAGGCCAAGGGCAAAGGACTTTATCTTTTACACCTTCTTTTCAGGATAGCCTGTGGTTCAATATTACTGGCATGAACCAGTTACTTGTGTGGTTGATTTCACTGAGTCAAATGGAGCCCCTTCACAATGGTAAAGCAGAAATGATACCTCTCCTCACTCCATGTGCCAGCTGGGCCAATGCTTCCCAAAGCAATTAAGTGCTTTTGTTACCTAATCTTGTATTCGAACATCACAAATGTATTTAGGAGGCTAAGGTCTTTGAGATACATCATGCCATGATGTAAAAAGTTAGCAGGCATCAGATTCTCTGCAGCAACACTTTATGCATACTCAATGAGTCCACAGCAAGTGGTTATCTCTTGTGTACAGAGTTGGGCATTTGAACTACTTTTGACCCAATGTATTTGGCTACTACATTCACACAAAAATGTCTGTGTTTACACCAGAAGGTGGAATAATATTTCCCCGCTGAAAAGGATTATATTTATTAGCATATATATTTGAATATGTTTATATTTATTATTTATTATGAAACACTCCTTTTATAAAAACAATCCTATTCAGTGATTTGCAGTACCTTTTTCAAAGTTTTTGAACTTTTTAGGATCCCTGTTTTTTGAATTAAAAAATTTAGAGACTGATGACTCATCTGTAGATGGTCATTAATTTGAATTTGTGAAAAAAACTTTTATTTTAGGCAAACTAAGCAAAGGATTCTTCTGAGATTTTAAGGTAGGGACAGCACATCAGCAAATGTTATCTCCAGCTTTCCAAGTTCAGCAAATATCCTTAAACATCTCCAGACACACAAAAGGCCATATTTGACAACTTAACCATTTTGCCTCTGCACCATGGGATTCTTCTTGGGATTTGATTTCAGTAAAAATAAATATTTTGTAAAGATGATAACTCCCTTTGCAGCCAGAGTAATGCACATTTGCTAGCATATGAATCCAGGATCCTGGGTTAGATTTTTGGCAGTGGTATTTATGAAACAATTTGCAATATGGTTTTTATCATCAGGTAAATATCCTGAATCAGATTCTTCTCCTTGACCTGACTTCCTATGAGACATTAATGGGTTAGAGAGTTCCCAGCTAAAGCACATGACAGGTCCAATAGGATGAATATTTTATTGTATGGTTTAGGCTGGTCAGCATTCTTTGTGTTTTTCTAAGACCATCCAAAATTCTGTTAGAGTTCAAGGATGGGTTTTTGGAAAGCATTCAGATTTCAGTGGGAGCAGAATTAACTGGGTGCAGCCTGCTTTTTGCAAACATTTATCCAAATATTTGAGAGAAATGCATACTGCGTTTTACCTTATGAAAGGTTCTGCAGTTAGAACTAGTCACTGAGGTGAAATAGCTCCCATTTTACTTTTTCCCACTTAGAGCAGAATTTCTTCCATTATAACTTGTATTATTTAACCACTAAAGTCTAGTTCCAACTACAAATTCAGGCTTCCCTTTAGTTGGCAAAGAGAAGCCAACACTTCTAGCATACAGCAAAGATGCTAAAATTAATGCTAAAATTACATTTGAATGCTCAGTTATTCATGATATGGGTCTCAGGAATCCTATTCCTACCAATCTATATTTATACGTCCTATGTTGCCTACTTCAGCAATAGCTGAAGGATGGTGACAGAATATCCTTCTTTTTGTACTGCATGCAGAACTTGAATTACTTTTTAACTGTTGAAGGTGTTCAGTATTAACATTACTGGGAACTACAGAACTATTTTGTGGTAATATCTGAAGTATCGGTGCTCTGCCCCATACAATGTAGAGAACGTCACTCTCATTAGAGTCAATATTTGTGTATTAAGCTTTTTAGTGTTCTCCCTCTGTAATGAGGTCCTTCAAAAGAAAATATAAAACTCATATTCTTTCAACCATGAGAAAATTTGTATATTAATTCAATATACTTCAACTTTATGTCACTTAATTGCTCACTGTAAATGCATGCAAGTAAAACCAGATGCAGCTCTTCAACCCGTGGGATATCACAATCCACAATTGCATGCCCTTCTGTTGCACGAGAAAGTAATATCTGATGGAGTGTAACACAAGACGCTTCTCAGATCACTTACTGTGTCTCCTTAATTTTGTTGTTTTAACTAGTATGGCACATATAGGCAAGAGAATCATGAGAGAAGTAGGTGTGACATCAAAGATAATCATTTATACTACACATTATGACTACTACTCTCTAATGACTGTATGGAGAATCAGACACTGGCGGGCTTAATAGCTTAATTTTCCACAATTATAATATAGTGATTGTGAGCCATCTATTTCAAAACCACTTATCAGAGGAATTGGTTCAGTCTCATTATCTTTATTTTGTGGTAACATAAGCTAAGGCAAGTAGAGGTTTTTCCACATTATGCTGAATGGGGGAACAACAGGTAGAGCTCACTTTCCTGAACCCACCCAAGAGACCCAACCTTTTGTCTTCTCTATCACACACGTGGGAAATTTCAAGAGTACTTTTATTAAAATCATGAAGTGATTTGCCCAGACTCACCATTCATTGAAGAAGAATGTAGCTGTGCTCTGGAAAGCTTTTCTCCTGGTACTTCTGTATTCACCCAATGAAAACCTTTCTTCTTAATTGAAATTTGACCTGAATATTGGCAAAACATCCATTTTAAATATTATTTTAAAAAAATCATTTATGTGAATATTATTGCTTGATGTTTTGATAAGAGCCACAGAATTTATAAAGGCAGCTATGTAAAAAATTTACTTATTGATACTCAGTAAACCAGGTGAATGAATGAATGTTAATTCTTCCTTTTTAATCTCAAGTATATCTCCCCTGTAGTTTATTTTATGGGGGAGAAGTGCACTTCAAAGAAACATATTCTTTGCCTCAAACCAACTTAAATTATCTTTCACAGAAACAAATTTAGAAATTTCTCACCAGTTCTAGATCCCTATTGCTAGTTCTCGGTATTTGCCCATTCAAATTTCATTGTTAAAAATCCTTATCACCAGAACAGGAAAAAGTATCTAAAGTTCATTTCCAGGCCAAACAAATAGGTTTGTAGAAGGGGTTGGATGAGGTCTGGAATAGACTCAATATCTCATAGCTACCATAAAAATAACCACATTTAACACAGCAACTTACAATCAAAACCATAATCATATCTCTCTTCAGTTTAGTTGCATTACTACTATGCATCTAAAAAAGAAAAAAAGGACCAAAACAAGCAAGTTTCAAATCACTGTGCAACTGTTCTGTATAGTAGATGCCAATCTTTTATTTAGCTAAAGGCTCTGGATCCCCAGTCTGTTTTTGATTGACTAGCAGGAACTTCATTGCACCACAGGAGCAAGCAAGCTTCTGTTCTTCAATCCCAATTAGGTTAGGGAAGTTTCCACCACAAAAAACCTTTTATCCTGAGACTGCTTCAGGGAATGGCAAAAGCTGATGAGCAATTATTTGATTATTATAATGTGAGGGTCATCTTTTTGCTTTATAGGTAAAGAATAACTAACAGAGTGATGTGATCAGTCATTTGGACCATTAGATGAAGCTGTAAAGCAAACAAACAAATAAATAACATTCATCAGCAAACTCACTGCCAGTACAGTCTCAAATCTAACAGTGTTACGGTATTGCTTTGTCAGGGGAGCTAGTATTTAATTTTAAATTTTTTCTCAGGCTGAATTTTAGTACTGATTATCTAACCTTAAGGGCAATGTTTCTGCAACATGATTTTAATTTCTGGGTAGACTTTGAGTGACAAGAAAAAATTATACCATTATCAGTGGCAATTTTTTGACCGCTAAAACTCAAGAATTAGCTAATTCATTCAATGAAATGCGTGCATGCAATTAATATGTTTTTAAAAGACATCCCATCAGACAGAACTATGAAATAATTAATCCTTTTCATTTAAATCTTTGGGAATAATTACTTCTCCCTAGGTAGCTTGCAAATATATAATTACAAGAAGATGACTGGCATAGGGTGCACTGTTCAATTGAGTTAATCCTAGTGTTTTTACTTAAGGCTAGATCCTGAAGCCTCCATTCACAGTCTTAGCAGCTTTGAGAGTCAAAGTCTTGGTTGTGGATGTGGCCTCACAGTTCTTTCCCAGATAGCTAGTTTGCAATTATTTCCGTGGTGCTGGGAATACAGCTAGAGATGGTATATACATGTACATGTATTTAAATTCAAGATGAATGAAATTAAAAGATTCCAACAGTATTTTGGATATAAGACGTTTAAACTGTTTCCTCTTAACTGTGTAGGTCTACACGATCCTCTACCAACATATACAAAGAAAAACTAATGAATTCCTCTCCTGGAAAATGGAAATTAATGCATTGCCTTCTATGGCTTGATTTCTAACACAAGCAAGACCTGTGCTCAGAAGTAAAAGCTAGAAAACACTTGGTTCAGTTTTTTATTCTTTCTCATTACTCTTAAGAAACTGTAAAAATAGAAGACTACTAATATCAATGATTTTTATGATTTTTCACAACACAGCTAACCTGTGCCTAAAATGCCAATCATTTTTAAGGTTAACATTTATTAGATAGCTTCCTAAATATGTGTCAGCCAGCTTACAGTTTAAGAAATACTAATATTTATACTTCAAGAGGAGAAGAAAAGGAAGAAAAAATAACATAATATATATCATATGTACCAATATGTACCATGTTATTGATACAGACACTACACAAAGGTACAACATTAAGCAAATGGCAGAAAGGCCTTGAAACTTTTCTGTTCTGCATAATATTATACACCCCATAAATTATTCTTTTATTGTTATTCCAGCCAGAAAATTAATGTAGTCAGATATGTAGCCAATTTATTGATTTACTGCTAGTATAAAGTGTCTCTCAAAATCAGAGAAAAAACTGCACATGCAATTTGTGTTTCCGTTTGGATTAAAACCCCACAGATATCAATCTTGGTGATATCAATGGACTTATAGTAAATATATGCTAAATATTTGCTGCAAACCAACAATTTAATTTAAACTTTTAAACTAATTATACTTCAATGCGTCATGTGTTACTCACGTAGCTCACTGAAGCAGGTTGTGCTATGAAGCATATGATGGAAGAGCTTGCACAGTGGCTGTTCTGCTGGAGGTGAATTCTGGCAGGTGCACTCCACATGCAGCATTGTGCCCCAGTTGCTAATGTAGGCTGCTTTGCACTCAGCATTTGCAGAACAGGGCATGTCATCCTTAATTAAAGTTTCAAGACAAGCTTCATCATCATAGCATTTTTTGGTCACATGTCTCCAACATTTTGACTGAAAAGTTTTATATTTTTTCCTGGCAGAAGAAAAGGAAGTATACAAACAAAAAAAGATTTCACAAAAAGGCAGTTAAAAATGATCATAAAAAGACAGTTCATTCTCAAGGTATCATTTCAGTCTTAAAAATCACAATATTTGGTAATAGCTGGCATAATTTGGCTCTGATTTGCACCTAATCAGTTTCAGTGAAACTGCAAATTTGTAATTTGAGAAAAAAGTTGGCTTTAGTCAAAAAGTTTTTGAGAAAAAACAACTGTACCCCAAATCAGCACCTGTATACACTTTACCAGGGTCCAGCAAAAATTATTGTGAATACCAACAGTCTCAGATAGTCAGAGAAGAAATTTGGACAGAGGAATAAGTCCAGTCATCATCATGAAAAAAAAAGAGGCACCTTTCTAGTGGGTAAGCTTGTTGGATAGCATGGTAGGAAGAGTGGATATTCAATGTAATTAAAATAAAAAAATCCACATCCAGTGCTAAAAAACAACTTACCAACCAAACAAAAACCCCAGACAGAATGCTAACAAAATATGTCCAATGATGTAGAAGAATTTCATTGCATATATTAAACTTTAAAAATTAATTTACAACGGAGATAATTTATGTGAAGAATTAATTTGTTTCCCAGCTCAATAATCTTAAATGATTTCAGTTTGTTTGCTATTAGGTGGAATAAAATTAGCCTTTAATGTACTAGGTATGACAATAGAAAGGATCTATTAAAGGCTAACTAAAAAATCTTTAGATATTGATTGGAAACCATTTTATCACTTGCATTAAAGATTAGTGGACAAGAGTAGTAAATTGTTGTTGCATATTGTACAGTAATAAGATATTTTTTCTTAATCATAGGTTAGCATTAGGCTGCTAATAACTGTTCATATTGTATAGTTCTTACAAGCAAGTCACATGGAAAAATGTGGAGTGTTACAATGCCAGATAGGACCTTATTTTAAATATTTTCATTATACAAAGACGGGCTTCAAAGCAGATGCCACCTCTATACTAATGGAATTATTTTTGTTCACCTCCCGATTTATAGATATGTCTAGCCATAATTCACAGACTAATTTTGCTAATTATGTTCACTTATTGTCAATGCCAGGAAACATTAATGCTCTGAAAATAATGGGTAATTCAGCAAGTTTCCATTATGATATTACATGTGTACACATGCACATGCACAGACTTACATTTGTAGCCCAATTCTTCTTGACATAAAAGGGGCAATTCCCACTGACGTCAATCTGAATAGCCTGCACAGAACTGAAAGCATCTCTTGGTCTCCTGCTTTGTTTACTGAAAGTTAATTTGAGCACAGCTTTGAGGTAAAAATCAGGTCTAAACCACACGGGAACCAGGGACTACACTGAAAATCAAAGTGAGCTGATTGACCATCCCCAAATGGTGGCAATTAAGAAGTGTGAGCATAGGCTAATCCTTTCGTATATTTTCTAAAACAAAATAAAATCTGAAACTGTGTTACTCTTCATTACTTTGGTAGTCTGTGAATGTTTCATGGCAGCTTTTTTCACATTTCAGCATGTCTGAGAAGAAAAGAATAAGATGAAAGTTTTGTGAAGGGGCAAGTTGCACAGTGCTTCAATACAAAGGGTCAGAAGATAAGGTGGAAGAGGTAATTACTTTAACCAAACAAACTTCTCCTAGCCTGCTGCATAATTTGTGTAAACAGCTAGAGGGCAAATGTGCAGACTGGCAGGTGTTATCTGAAGAAAGTGCTAATGAAAATACCTCACAGCACAGTTTGTCCAGTTGAAATGGACAAATGAAATGTTAAGAGTCATGAAACCGGCAGAAGAAAAGGCTGCACTAGGTCCCAGACCTATCGGAAAATGAATGTTTTAGTTTACTTGTGGAATTAATGCATTTGATGCACCAGACATCTATGATAGATAGCCAGGTGGAACCTTGTAGTCACTTTTCAGACCAAATTTCAAAGAATTGCTGTCTGCATCATAACCTAACTTTCTGCCTGGTAAAATTGGGTAAAATGACCTAATAAAACCTAATAATGTGTTACATAAACCTAGTAATATGTTCTCTACCCACATTTGGTTCATCTACGTATTTTAAATATTCTCTGTGTTTTTTGTATGTGGTTGTTTGCCCAGAGAGGTTGTAGGTGTCCCATCCCAGGAGGTGTTCAAGACCAGATTAGGTCTTGATGAGGTCTTGAGCAGACTGATCTAGTGGGTGGCATCCCTACCCAGGGCAGGGGGGTTGGAACTAGATGATCTTTGAGGTCCCTTCCAACCTAAGCCATTCTTTGATTATATCTCTTTCATGAGATGTTTTAAAGGCCCCTTCTGGGTGAGTTCGTGTGAAGAGGTTCTCTAGATACCCTTGTGTTCGAACGGAAATATGGTTATGATGCAAGAGTAAGCCATAGGGAGAAAAAGCACTTGCTGAAAAGGTGGAGTATGAAGGTTTTCTAAGTGCTGATAAGCTCTAGAGAGCTGTTCAACTTCCAAGAATCAGCAGTGCATGCTGGCAAAGAGTCTCTGCTATACTACCCAAAGACTAGTTTATAAGGCACTGCAACGTTACTTTTATAAGCCTACAGCTGAAGTTGGCCATGAGCATACAGTTGGAGTTGCACTAACCACTATGAGGGAAGGTGTGAGTGTGTGAACAAACTCTGTGAGGGAACAAACGAATGTGTGGTGTAAATGCCTTCTGATGTTGATAATATCTGGAATTAATCAAAAATAACAGCATAAAGAACAGAAGATGTTCTAGGAAGTACTGGATGTGACCTCTGTCCTCTTAATTTTATCCCATATCAAAGAAAAGGGACTTTGCAACAAACCCTTATCTTAGAACATTCCTTTTGCACCTGAATAATTTGGAGTAGTGCTATAAGGTGATTATCAGGTCTTGTGCAAAAAATAAATAAAAAAATGACCACACCAAAAACTGTGTTCTAAACTGACATCCAACTAACATGTCATGATCAAAGATTAAAGATGGTAAACTTTCTGCTGTTTCTATCCATGAAATATGGCTTTTTGAAATGTTAAACACAAAAGATGATATAGAATGGATACAGTGCAGAAAATCATTTTGCTATTGATGAGAAATATGGCACATGTAAAAAAATATTTGATCAAAAAATTATTCTCAGTCCTATGGCTAGGCAAAACTTAGGAAAAGTAACATTTTTTCTACTTACCTGCAGAATTCATTTTCCTCACACATGTGAATTACATTTAGGCATGATGGGTGGGGAACTGCAGTAACTGCACAGAGCTTGCCATGAAGAAGTTCTTTGGCTCTGTGGCAGGATTCATCAGGCTGGATACAATCACAAAATATCATCATTTGGGCAACTTCCAAAGGCATGTTGTGATAGAAGAACCTGATGGCTGCTTGACATTCTTCCGTGTTGCACTTCTTACTTACTGAGCAGACCTTAAGGTACAGGGACAACTGTTTGTTACATACTTCGTCTTCAACACAGTCCTTGTTCACATCCAAACAGGTTCTGTTTGCTGTGTGTGCTAAAAAGAATAATGATTTTTAAAATGAAATCACAAGAAAACTTTTCTCAAGTGACAACTGGTGATCAAGTGAATTGATTATCCTGCCTGTGATATTCCCATTAAAAACAAGTTTGACTCCCAAAAGCTCTGAGACAGCTCTTCCAGCACTGCCTCTTTTAAGTCCATTCTTTAGTCTTCATATTCCTCCCTTCTACTTCTTGGCCCTCATAGGTAACCCCCCTGCAAGTTTCTGCCCTTGCCAGATGGTGAGGAAGAAGAAAGTGAGAAATGAAGAAATGGAAATTTCTTCATAGAAAGTAAGGTTTCTGGGAGCTAGTGGTTAGTAGATACTTGAACTACTTGAAACTGCTGACATCTCCCACTGGGCTACAAAACAATCAGTGGAGAAGAGAATACTCTGTTTTTTAAAGCTAGTTCATGTTTTTTTTTTTTTTGTTTTTTTTTGTGTTTTTTTTTTTTTTCTCCCAGCCTATGCTATACACCTTCCAAAAAGATCTAGATATTTCTGACCTTATAATGTGGTTACCTTTTGGAGTAAGTTTTCCCTCTATATCAGGAATGGTATTTTTACCTATCATTTTTGGATTTTTTTCTATACAGTAGTTTAACTAAGAATACATAGGATTCTATTGATTCCCTTCTGTTCAGTAGTTTGAATGAAACTATTCATTTTAATCTGGAGATACAGTGTACATTATGTGAAAAGAGAACTGAAACTAGTTACTAGGATATATAAATAAATTCAAAATTACCTTTTTTGGAGAGAGCAGATAAACTCCACTGTAATTTTGTTTCCATACTAATATTTTCTAGAACAAAAAATATGTGGATATAAGCATGTGCAATGATAAATCATGTCTCAGCTTAGTTCTCAACTTTAAATTATTGACTGTGTTGCTGGCCTAGTGCTCGTAGTAAAAATAAACAAGATAAAACAAATCAGCTTGATCAAATAGGAACTGTTAGCTTGTTAAACTCTAAAAGCACTGTTAAATATATTCACAGATTTTGGGGTGAAAACGCAGTTTCTCAGTTGCTGTTGATAACATTCTCTACATAATTATACATCCTGTGAACAGAAGAAGAGTTTTAGAGTTGCTCAGCACAGAGTAAAATGAGGGTTACTGTAAATAAATAAAGGCCAGAGGCCTTAACATGTTCATCAGTACATACAATTTTTAAAACTCAAAAGGTTTGTCAAGTGTTAAAGTAAATGCAGGCAGAGAATTCTTATTATTAGAAAACTGTTCTTTTTTATTATTATTTTTGTTTTTAGTTATAGTGCAGTACTGAAAGGGACTGATTAAGATCAGGTTTTGAAAGATTAACACACTGAAGGAAAATAGAATTTGCATTTAGGCTATTGTTTTGCTATCAGATTATTCATTTGCATCTAAATAACCTCTTAAAACTATCTTGTTTCTAAGGTTAAACTGCAAACAATTAAGAGATTTATTTATTTATTTATTCATTTATTTATTTATTTTTCACAGATGTGCTCATAATAATGCACATATGAAAGGACTCAGATTCTTGGAATAGCACTAACCTGTGTCAGTGTCCTGACTTTTATCATCATCATCATCATCTTCAACATCATTTTCATTAGCTGCTGAAACTTGGTTCTCTTGAGAGTATTGTAAACAAGGGTTGTCAAATATTCCCTTCCATATTTTAAGGCATCTAATTTGAACTGGCTCTGAGCACTTGCACTCTCCTAGCACTGTTTTCTTCAGTTCTTTCCATGCTGACAAACATTCCTGGCCACCTGTTGGGTGCCTGCATTCTTCTGCCTCTGCCTGGCATGCTCGCTGGAAGCTCTTATACACTAAAAAACAGTATGGGTCTTCTTGACAGCGTTGTTTTGCAATGCTGCAGTCATTCCCTATTTCATCTGTGTGTCTTTGGTTTTGGTGGTTTCTGTCTTGCCTAAAATTCAGCTCAGCATCAGATTTTGAGGAAGTTTTCAAATACTCTGTGCAAATAGGTAAAAAAAAAAAAAGAGAGAAAAAAAAAAAGAGAGAGAGAGACAGGTATCATAAGGAAGTTGGAAATTCATTGCTGGTCAGCTCAAAACAAACTGCAGGAAAATGAGTTAAATGTCCCTAGTCATGACATAACTAAATTCAGCTGTATGTATATACATACAATTTTAGCCACCAAGATTGGACATAAAATAAATTACCATTTCAATTCACTGCATAATCTCTGAGGAGAGAATAGCAGTTCCAGAGCATGGTTCATTCATTGCCTAAACTAGTTATTCAAGACAGGAAGAATTACTCCTGAAAGTATCTACCAACACCATGAGCTGTCCTTTGTATGTAAAACCCATACTAGTGCAACATCATTCAAGCTTTTTGCTATACCAGTAAGAAATGTAACCTCATTTAATGGAAAAGTTTTCTTTTTCATGATTAAAACTTTATGTTTAATTAGTTACCTTTGTCAGTACCGCATTGTTTCCCAAGCAAAGCTGTGACGCTACAGGAATCATCTGTAGTGCAGACACAGTTCTTAAATTCTGGGTATTCGTCAGCCAGGACCTGGATGATTCTATTACAGCCACTAGTGTCTTCTGCCTTGCATCTATTACCTAGAATTCACATTTAAAATTATAATGTTGTTAATGTTTATGAACGCTTAAGGGATGTGGTTACATAAAACAATTCAATTGAAGCACAAAAATAATGTGTTTTGCCAAGAGAAGATGGTTCGAGCCTAGTTTTGTTTGAAAACCAATCATAATTTACAAATTTTAAATAATATTCTGAGTGATGTAATAAAGTTGTGGGTACAATATTCCCTTGTATTCAATCTGACCTATTACCAGAATATCTGTTCATGTTTCCAAAGCACATAAAATGTTAAAATGATTATTTCTGTCAGGAATTAAACAGAATTAGTGTACTTTTGGCTTATAGGAGAGTTCATTTAAGGGACCATATTCACTGGAGTCCACAGAGAGGTAAGCCAGGAGACACCATTGTGCTGGATTGCAATGACAGCAATACCTGCAAGGAAGGGGAATAGAGGAGCAGAATAGTTGGGATCTGAGACCACTTCTACAGAGCATGTGAGACAAAATATATCAATCACCCCTCTGTTTATGGACTAAATGGTTTTCATTATTGCTTAAGATTGTTACACATTTCTTAAGAAAGTTACATAAGAAGCAGTTTATTACCATTTAAGTAAGTTATATAATGTGAAAATCACGGTCTACTTTGTCAAAGTAGGTACGCGGTTCCCCAGACCAACACATTTCCCTCTCATGAATATTAATCATCTCACAACATGGAAGATAAGGAATATATGGCTCACAAGATTCAGGCAAGTCATGGGGTGGCACAAGGATTTGTTTTAATCTATTAAATGCATATGCTACTGTCTCTGCCCTGTCAACAGTGATGCCTGGCTTCCTGCCTTGCTGCTTCCCAGGTGGGCAGTGTGGAGCACCAGTGACTGAGTGCTCCAGGAAAACTGCAACACTCGCAACCATGTGTCACCACTGCCACTGACAAGTTTTAATGGAATTACAGCTTTAATGTCATTTATATATCGTTGACAGGAATATCAGTGGAAGGCAGTCAAGATGAAGGCCTGCAAGAGGAAAGAGTGCTCTTTGCCTGTGCCTGAAGGAATGAGGATAAACTACGCCATAGTGCACATCCCCATCTTACTACTCCCAAATCCTTTTACAAACAGTGCCTCTGTTGCCCTTTTTCCAGTTGGTGTTGCTGACTAAGGAGATTTTGGGTTTGAAAATATGCACTGCTTCAGGGACATGTCACAGTCCAGCAAGGAATCACAACTCCCAGTCTCTGCTCCCACTTCACCTCCTGCTTCTGTAAGGGAGGAAGTTATGGTGCCTGGGATTGCTTGTATATGTCCATCCCATCTCATTGTTTCTTCTGAATTTTTAGGAATATGACCCTCACCTTTACTCTCACATTTCCTTCTCTTCCTAGTAGCCAAGAAGCTCAGAAGGTCTAATAAGAGCTATTGAAGGTCATGGACATAGGACACTCCCTGACAGTAAAGATAGGATGGAAAATATGTGGTGACATGGAGACTATGGATGCCCATGAATGTAGGTGGAGGAATATTCTACTGTGTATTTTATCCAATGACTAAAGAATAATAAGAGAATTTCAGGAAACAATTTCAGGAGGAAAAGTTTCAGGGGTAGGAAAAACAATGATGATGAGGAGGGGCTTGTGTAAAAGTTAGCTAATTTACAAAATTTCTGACTGTCTTCTTCATGGGCTTAGGGACACTTCAAGGTTAGAGGTGGGCAGAGATGAGAAAATAAGAAACATAAATCCCAGTATATTTTATGCAGGTACCCCAGTCTTACTTAGCTTATCCACCTTTATGGTACCAACCACACTACGAGTGTATTGTCCTATGAACACACTGATCAGTTACAGCAGCTGACAACCAGGGGGTGGGATGTAGGTAGTGGGACTATGAACTTACAAAGGGCATAGACAGAATCAGGAAGCTCATCAGATATATAGGGTTCCCTTGCCTGGCCTCTTGAAAGCTGTGTAGAAATAACCTATTATCAGTATTGGTCTGTTTGTACACTGTGTTGATTCAGCTGTGATGAAGAGTAGAAAATATTTTATTGCTGGTTTTCAATTATTTTGCTTTATTATTCATTAGTTCTAGGTAATATATTTTAGCTTATACATATGCTACCAAGGTATTTACAAAAAATGTTCTCTGACCTAATGCTTAGCAGCCATTCTTCATTATTTGATTTATTTATATGTACACAATTTTTGTACATGTGACCACATAGAGAAGTGTGACAGAGTAGAAGCTGACACATCCACAGTGATAATGTCTCTTCTTGCACAGTCAGCTCTGAAGTCATCTCAGTAGGAACTGCATCTGAAGAGTGCAAAGGAAAATACTGTGTTTTCCCCTCTAGCACTGGTGAGACTGCATCTGAAGTGCTGTGTGGAATACTGGACTCCTGAGTACCAGACAAATGTGGGCATACTGGAGCAGGCCTTACGAGGTGCCACAAATATGATGAAGAGACTGGAACACCTGCCTTATGCACAGAGACTGAGAGAGATGGGATTATTCATCCTGAAGGAAATAATATGATACACATATTCATGTGTATAAATACCTGATGGGAGGGTAATAAAGAAGGAAGGACCAGACTCCTTAGTGGTGTCCTCTGACAGAACAAGAGGTACAAACACAAGTACTTAAAAGCTGCCCAGAAAGATAGTGGAGCAACATCTTTGGAGATACTCAAAATCCATCTGGAAACAGTCCTGTAAGATCTCCTGTAGTTGACCCTGCTTGAGTAGGGGGGGTAGGACTAGATCTCCAGTGGTCCCTTCCAACCTCTGTAATTCTGTTACTCTAAGAAAAGTAAACCAGTAAACCTACTTCCAAATCTAATTCAAAATGTGGTTCCTTACTTGATTTTTTTCTTTTGAACCCAGATGTTTCCAATTCTGAAACAATAACTACTGGTTAAATCAAGGCTCAAAAGTTTATATTTTTTTTTTCAGTGAAATAAAAGAAAAAAAACCACAAACACGACAAACCCCAAACCTTAAAAATCTTCATTCTGCTATGCTGAAATATTTTTGACATTTTCAAAGCAAAAAATATTGATTCCATAAAAATTAAATATTTTAATCTTTTTCAGTCTGACATGTCAACTGACTTGTAGACATTTTGATCTTTTTTTTTTTCTTTTTTTTTTTTTTTTCACTGTATATCACGGCATAGAAAAGGAAATGGCAGAAGGGTAGATCTCAGAAGGCAATAAACTGAGATTCTGAAAAGGCTGCTGTAGTAGAGGAGCAGTGATGGACAGTTTGACTGAGAAAGGAGTCACTTAGGCAATTGTCTAGAGAGTGTCCCCTGTCCTGTTCTGAAGAGCAAAAGATGTAGACCATGATAATGCACACATTTAACTTGGAGTTTACTGCCTGAGAGTCTGAACTATTGAACTTGTACCACAGAGCAGGAGCATTATTATCATTTGTAGTTAGATTTTGATAAAGAAACTAGCAAAAAAGAAATTTTATCTTGTCACCTCCAAATACTACGTTTATGCTCAACTCTAAAGGGGCCTTTTCCACACACATAACTCACTCCATTAAATTTTTTATTTTGCATATGTAGAGTACATTTGACTGATAATATAATGTTGTTCTTAGTAATAATGCTGCTGGTAAGTTTTCTATTATTGTTCCAGTGAACTTTCATAGAGATACCATCAGCTGTTTGACTGTGGGTCCACACCCTTTGGTACATAATAACCACATTTAGAAAAAGAGAGTCTTTGCTAAATGCTATTGTCATAACAAAATACACAGATTCAAAACCAAACAAAGAATCACAGGAGAGTTTATTTTCAGAAGGTTTCCGTGATCCAGTTATATGTCATTAGTATTAGTGAATAAGAAATGGAGAAATGTGCTTTAGTGAGAGAAATAGCATACTATGGGACAATGCAACACATCTAAAGGGGAATCCATAGAACTTATTATACTGACTCACTTCACCTGGTGGCAGGGTATGATGAAGGCTACAGTAGAAATCCTGAACTTTATGTCAAGTAATCTTTGTACTAATGCCTTTGTGCATGATGTGAGAGATAAAAATTCAGCTTCTAATTTGTGGAGAGGTTTGGGGCTAGACAGTTTATCTTTAGCTCACTGTGTTGAGCCTGAAAGTACTGCATATTCCAATATTTTTCTTCAAATACCAATTTTTGAAACTGCTCCACTTCGTATAAAATATTTAAAAACTCAATAGACCATGAGCTGAAACCCAGTTCCTTTGGGAACTGTTGTAACCATTAGGATATCATGTATTTTTCATTTACTCTGTCTGTTCTTAAAAGTATTAAGCCATTCTATGCAAAGCAGATACGTATCTGGAACAGGACACACTAAGAAGGAACCTCAGATAATTTTCTGCTCTAATTATTTTAAATATTGCCTTGTGACCCGGGACACCTGGGTTCAAATCTCTGCAACAAATCAGACAGCCAGAGCCATTCAGGCAGCTCCTACTGCAGGTGAATATTCCAGCAATGGGCTGTTGAGCGTGAAGCCAGGCAGTGCCTTCTGCTGCCTGGCTTCACACACAGACCAAATGTGAGACTGTGTTCTTAACTCCTGACAGGGGGACATTCACTTCATGAATCCTGCTGAAATTCAGAACAGAGTATGGTGTCAGGACATGGCTGGTTTTGTTCAAGCAATGTCAATATAAGGAGAAGGAGGGTTTCCATGGAGATTTAAATACCTCAGTAATTCCCAGTGACTAAGAACGTGCCTTACAGAATTAAGTTGATAGAAATAGCAGTTACGTACCTAAATCTCTTTGGTTGCATTTATGAATAGGGCCAAGGCACTGACTAGGCTAATGGTAAGTGACTGTGTATAGATTGCTGCACTTTAGCATGGTAAAGTCCAGTCTGTGAAGATAGCATGGGCCTGGAATTGCTACCAAGAGGCAGTTTTGTGCAGCCAACCTAGGAGGAAGAAAATTAGCTGTATGTGCACATGCTGTCACATGGCAGTTGGAATTAAGGCCAGAAAATAGTCTCTGACCCATTTTATTTACTTATACTGATGTAACCTTGGCAGATCTAGGCCCTTGACATTTATAAGTTAACAGAGGAGTCATCCTAGTGACATTACCATGTTGTACTGCCACTCTTTTTCTCTCTTCCATATTTACATTATCTAACAAATGAATACTTAACATTTAATTGCACGGTCTTTGGAACTTTATATTTAAATCTAAATTTAAAGAAGGGAAGACGTTGTGACTGATACCCAATGACTTTTATGTGGTTTGTTCAAGAAGACTCTAGGCCTTTGGAGAAATTAACATTTTCATCTGAAGTACAACAAAGATTAAGATGAGTTTCAGGTCAAACATAATACCTGGTCTTCCCCAACTTAGAACATAATTAGAACATAATTATACTTTACTTGGAAATGATGCACCAGTCATTGAAAGTATAACAAACAGAGACAGAGACTATTTTTCTGCTTTGTTTTCTTTTTAAGGATCTGTTTAACAATTCAAGGAGGATTAGTCACATTCATAACCTGCAGTTTATTGTATCATCACTCCTTGGAAGTGACTGATATGTAGGTACTATTCACTGAAAAAATGCAGTATGCCCCCTACAACACAACTTTCTTTGAGGAATGCTTTATTTGATCTGTTTCTTATCATAATATAGCATTAAAATAAATTATTCTAAGTAAATACTACTTTTCCTTTTTTTTTTTTTTTCTTTTTTTTTTTTTGGGCTATTGTATTAAATCAACTCCGAATTACAGAAAGCAAGGTTGGAACCTTTTTCCAGTTAAATTCTGGAAAATGATTAACATAAACCCACAAGAACATAATTTCTGCTGAATTCAGGCTTGCTGAATTGGTTCAAACTCTGACCTTAATTATAGTCCAGAAATTTCATTTACCACCTTATTTAAGGGACAGTGTCACTGTTACTGAGAATAGGAATGGCCACAGTCAAGACTTCAGACATTTGTTTCTAATGGTGTCCTTTGTTTTTTGAAATCTCACTGACTTCATTCAGTTACCACTGTAATGTTATGACATAATATGAACGTGCAACAATTCAGCAGTTCAAATAAAATATATATAAAAATAAAAAAACCCACGGTGTATACCAAAAAGAATTACCTGAAATATTGCAGACATCTTCAACAATACTCCAGACACTCTCACATCCATTTGCAATATTTATACATTGCTTACTGAAGTGCAGACAGTCAGTAGTTTGGGCAGTAGCAGTATTTATGAAGTACATTAATAACACTGTAAAAATGGAATACAATGACTATTTAACACAACAGATACCTTTTAAATTTACATTTAGACAATAACAATTTAGTGTAGTTTAGTGTAGTTTTTTAGATTAAAACTATATAGCCACTTTTTGATAGAATAAAACTTTTCCTCAGTTTTACACCTGAAAACATAAACTTTTAAGTTTTTAAAGTTTCAGTGTGGCAAATTTTATATTGTTTTTACTCCAGAGTTGTGATATAAGCCATAGCTACATATACTGTATGTTCATAGAAATAGAATAGAAATGACTGTAGTTCAGAGATCCCCAATAAATTATAGAGGGAAGACTGAGTATACAATTCAGAGGAAAAATACTTTTATTTGGATTGCAATTTCATAAAGCTAGAGGCTACACAGGAGTTCCTATGAATAGAAGACATGAAAGAAGTTTGAAAGCTATACAGCTGTTAGATAATAAATATAATTTTATTTCATAAAATATTTCATAAAATACTATCACCCTCTTTATTTTTATTTTGCATTTCTTGAAAACGGTCTTCACATTTATGTCTCTGTCTTCTCCCTGCATGCACTGAACCTAAGGGCCATGTTAATTGCATTAAAAAAAAAAAAGTTCTAAACCTGAAGATTGATGCAGAGTTTGCAAGATAAAGAACTTTTAATCAGCACCACCTCTGGCTTAGGTGTAGAAAATTAGATTGCTTTGCTAAGGAAAGACAAATCAGTTGCGGTTTAGCTTTTTCATCAACATTCCCCCGGTAACACAACCTCTAATTTGTAACCATGTAACCATGTATCTTAATTTGCTGTAAAATCAAGCTTCAGACACAGATTTAAGGCTTTATCAAACTAGCTGCTGAACACCTGCTGGGAGCATTTTCTTTGGATATTAAATGACACTACATCTCCCTGACCAATGCTCATTTTTCAGGCAACTTCATTCAAAATTTGAAGAGTTTCCATCTCTATTTAATTCCTTAAATATAATCTCTGAATACGAGGCGTGAAATATTGTCTCAGTACTTGTCCAGACGTTATCCAGAGGAATGATACATTTGAGAAACAAGAAATGAAATACCAAATATGTCTCTTAATGATCTCAAAGAACTGCTACTATTTAGAGTAGATACCATCCCTTCTGGAAATGATGTTTAACATGATATAATAATGCTGCTGTAGGGAACTCTTTCTGGAGACACACTGATAAGAATGCAGTAACATTTGATACTTTATAACTGATAGGTGCAATAGCATTTAGTGTGCTTCCGAGACATATAAGAGGCCACGTGTGCTTATCATAAGAGGGTGAAGTTGCTGCTAATCCTTTCCCATTTGTGCATATCTCTCCTATTTCTCAGATCTATGCAGGGTAAATTGTGAGAGCAATCATCTTGAGCCTGTGACACTCTTTTAGTCTGCTTCTGCCAGACAGTCTGGAAGACTGATTGATAGACATGACTCCTGCCAGTGAACAGTGAGGAATGTCCAGCTGGCCCATCCAAAGGAATAATTTTGGCTCATTATCATAAAATGTTATTCCTGGGACCGCCTGTAAAAGTTCTAACTGCAAAGTTACTTACTATTTACTTAAATTACAGAGAAAAAAAAAACCTGCTTATACCTTACAGGTGAGAATGACCTGTATACATAAGGCAGTATAATATTACATATCCAGAAACTTTTAAAGAAAGTATACTTTGCTGGATGGCCATTTCAATATGCTTTAGGTACTAATGCAGTGGAAGATGTATACCTCCGACTGGGATCCATAGCACAAAGACTCTGTTAAGAGTCCCTGCTGGTAAGAAAGCTTTTCATTACCTTTGGCTGAAAATGAATAGTCAAACTAGGGACTAATTAAAAACCCAATTAGCAGCTCCTTTGTTAGGATTATTTCAGACTGCATGCATTTTAAACCTGACTGGAAACTGTGCCACAAAAGAAATAAATGCTTTTGCAAAATGAAGAGGTAAGTAGCATAATCTGTGATTGAAGCTAATTCAGTTGTAAGACAGGGCTTCTCCAGATCTAATGATGTATTACGGATAGGTCTCTTGTTTCCTCAGCAGTACACTGGTCATACTCTGGCAAGCCTACACAAAGCAGTTTGGCCTATATGATTTTAGAATGCAATGCAATCTAGTTATCTAGCAATCACTTGCTTAAATTGACAACCATTATTTTAGTCATTCACTTTAGTTATTTTGGAGTGTTTGGAGTACTCAGAGGCTGTTTTGCACTTAGGAAAGTTCAGGGCATCTAAAAGTTACTTTGTAGCTAAAACTTTTAGAGGGATCTAGTTTGATGTGAGGACACGTACATTTAGATTCCAGATGTCTATTTTTGTACAGATGTCAATTCATTTTTTGGAAGAATTTGGTATCTAAATGATGAGAGGGTAAAAAGGACATTGTAACACCTTCATTTTGCAGATTGGGAACTGAGACACAGAGGAATTACAGTGTCTCACCTAAGAATAAAAAATTATCTGGCAGATAATAAAGAATAATAGGAAACTTTGATTTCTCAAGCTGTGGTTTCCTGTGCAACAAGAGCAGCAAGATAGCTAGCTCCAAAGGAGAAAAGCAAACAGTAGTTGATATCAGGGGTTACAATTGTGATAAAAGACAGCTTTATTCTAAGAAAACCTGGAGCAGAACTACCTACAGAATATTTTTAACAGTGGAGTAGAAGTTTAGAATAGTGGGATGGTAAAGAGAGAAGCAGCATGTATATAAAATGTAGAGAAGGGAAAAAGAGGAGAGAAGAAATAAAGAATGGGTTGTTTCATGCTCATTTCTACTAATTATTTCTGTACCAGCTTTGTTGTCTTCCACTCCCTCCCCCCCGAACTTTTATTTTTTTTCCCCCTCGATTCAAACAGAAGGGGAAATGTCAATAACCCTCCGTGCAGCACTGAACGCTTTCCACTTAGCAAACATGTGGCTGTTTATTCAGACAAGGCATCCCATCTGCATGTCTCCTCTCCTGCTCAACTTCTTATCCGTTCTGGTTCCGCCGGCTGTGCTAACCCATGTTCAGACACACCACTCGGGCCGAGCCGGGATGAAGAAGGGTCAGAGGGACGGGTGGGGAGGAAGCGAGGGGTCCCGGCGAGGATGAGCAGCACTTACCGCGGCGGAGGAGCGCGGCCATGGCTGCAGCTCGGCGCCGGGGCTCGGAGCCGCCCGTTCAGCACCTGCGGAGCGGACAGCGCCCGGACGGCCCCGAGCGGGCACCCTCCCGGTGCCAGCGCCGGGCTTCCTCCACCTCCTTCGGCAGGAGCAGGTGGAATGACCCCCCGCCCGCCCCTCCCTCGATCCCTCCGCCCACAGAGCTTCCTTTGATGCTGTTGTTATACCCTGTGCTTACGTTTCTCTCTCTCTCTTTTTTTTTTTTTTTCAACTGCACTGCATCTAGAAGAGAAGTGGTTCTTGGGTTCATTTTTCATGCAATTTGGCACTCCCTCCTTATTCAGCTGCCACTTGATTTCAGGAAGAACTAACAGAGTAAGGCTTTGGCTGATGCTTATAATGTCTCTGGAAAATGCACTTTCAAGCACTCAGTCTTGCTTAACTGTTGCTGTGTGTGATCGCTTTTTTGTAATGTTTTAGAAGTGGGTTTGATTGTTTTCATCTCAGATGTGGGACAGGCTCATGGTCTATTAAATAGGAACAATAGCTGTGGAGCATGTTGGACAGCAGACCAGACGAACAGTCTTACACTTTTCCATAGTACTTAGTGTATAGACTTGAGGAACAGTCAGACAGAGGAACAGTCTTGCAAGTTCCATAGTACTTACTTAGGCATCTAACTTGAGGAATTTCATTAAGATACATCAAAAAACAAACAAGCAAACAAACAAACAAAAAAACCACTACCATCAACAAAAAACACACAAAAACAATTTGCTATACTAGAGTCAGAAACTGGCCAACCCTAAATTGTACAATCAGTGACATGTCAGCTGAATTTGTTTCTCTGTAGATAGATGCAGGAAATTATTAAAAAAAAAAAAAAGTGGTTTCCCTTTTCCAATTTAAATGTATTTCTGCAAGGAATAAGCTAAGAGAAACAGATGTATACATAGATGCATAATTTGCTTGAACAACCCTCAGACAACCTGAGAACTCAGAATGAAACATGAGTAAAGCCATGAGCCATGTACTTGAAAACCCAGATACAGCTGAAGCAAGTGTAGATAGCATGGACTATAACACTAGCCGTGCTGTAAGAGTTCAGATGGGCTTTCCATCTGAACTCTTGTTCACCTAGCCACCTGTCCACCTACTAGACAATATGAAAAAAGCATGACTACAACCAGTATAAGGTGGCTGAATACTCAGACAACAATCATTTGTCAGTGAAGAACTTTTTGAGCTGGAGGACCATTCCACACCCTTTGCTCTCATAAACAACTCCTGTAGCTCATGCAATGAGCTCATGCAAAAATTTAGCATACACACTAAGTGGCATCACCTTCTAGCTTGACTGGATGCTCCTTGATTCTTGCACTGGAAGGAGGAGCAGCAGCAGATCTTTACTAATCTCATCATTCCACTCATGAGACTTGTTTTTGCAAGTTGCTTATACCATAGAGAACATTTTTAATTGCATTTGGTCTTTGAAAGATTTAAACAAAAAGGAACCATAAAACATCCAGCATAAAAAGCAGATATATATGGTAGGTGAAATTCTATCTCTATTGGCAGAACCAGAGCTTGAGAGGAGTCTGGATTTTACTTTTTCTCTGTTTAGCTGAGGAAAATACAATCTTGCATGTATTTTTTTTTATTATTTTTTTTTTATAACTGATTTTAACTTAGTAAATTTATTATTTTCAAAGTGCATTCAATAAAATAAAATACTTTTTCTTCAACATACCCAACAGCAAGAAAAAAAAAAAAAAAAGAGGACTTATTTTCAAGTGAAAGGAATAGACTGACAGCTATTTAGCTGTGAGACAAATTTTAGTTTGGATGACTAAACTTGCTTTTGCTGATTTTAACATGCATCAGTAGGTTGTGATGCATCTTACAGTGAGAGCTGAGTTAAGGTAAAGTTTAATGTGGGCTCCTTCCCATGATGCACTCTCCAGTTTAATGACATGCATCAATTTTGCTCGTATCCTACAATGACATTGTGCCCTCAATGCACTCCAGAAGAAAAGGGAGGGAAAAATTACCTTTTTGGAGGAGGAGGGAAAAAGAAATTATTTTGCAGTCATTGCGACTGCAGGCCATCAGCTTAGCACTACAGTGACAACAAAAAGCAGCAGGAGGTCAGGATATCAGTTCTCCAAGACTGTGAAATATGTTGAGAAACAATGTACCAGAAAGATGGTGTCACAAACACCAATTATATACACGGGAACAAATATGTTGTGATTCAAACTCCATGTCTAATGATGCTATGACTAAATAGGAACAATGACACTAGAACTCGATTTCTATTCTCCTAAATTGCTAGTGAAAATATTGGAAAACCAAAGCAGCTAGAGGTAACAAAACCCAATTTAAGCTCGGCTTTCAGACCTTTTTCAATATTTAAAGGGTAAAGAAGAAATGCTCTTTCCTCAAGTGATCTTTCTGATGGATAAGATGGAGTAGAGCTATTTTGCCATCCTATTCTTATTGAAGACAGGAACAGCTATACATCAAAATAGCTGTGTTGGTAAAGTTTTGTAGATATGACAGTCAGCCAACCACTCTTCTAACTCACCCCAAACTTAATTTTAAGTATTACTTCACATGTCAAAAGAAGCCCAGAAGTCACACACAAAAGACATAAAATTCTGTATTGCTCTTAAAATCTTTCCCTGTCTTCTTGCAGTTGTTTCTATCTTTATTTATATCTGCTCTACTCTCGTTTCCTGTATGTTCCAGTTTCACTATGGGGTTTATCTTTACAGATAACTTTCAGAAGATAATGTCTCAGGTTTTCTCAAATTTTGTAAAATAAAATGAATGAATAACATAAATAAATAAGAATATTTGTATTAAAACATTTCTTTTAGAAACCCGATTTTATTTTATTTTTTTTTTTTTTTTTCATAAAAATAACCAAATCTTTATGTGGATAACCATATTTGATGCTCAGGCAAGAATTAATTAACACTTTGTACCCATCCTTATAGTTAAAAACTTAGATAAGCGCTAATCGTATCATTTGTGTCTGGAAGATTTGCTATTTGCTCTGGCCAGGAAATAAATAAATAAATAAATAAATGTGTAAGTGGCTATGTCTCATCTTTTACTTATATTCTCAAAAAAAAAAAAGGTATTGTTACGTTTAAGTTGTGACCAACAAAAATCCCTAGAAATGTTGTAATATTTTAAATTGGGAGATCTGAATGAAGAGAGAACTAAGAAAACAATACAGAAAAAATTACCTTACTAAAGGGAAAATTAAGGTCAGAAACTCCATATCCAGCATGTTAAAAGAGAGTTGCAGGAGTCAAAAACTGACAGTGAACTTTAACCCCAGTAAACTAAGTCACCAGGGATGCATTATCTTCATTCATAAAGGAAAAAAAAAAAAAAAAAAATATATATATATATATATATATATATATATATATATATAAAATGTGTGGTAGGAAGCCCCAGGCCAGGGAGCTTCTCCCATAAATAGAAAATGGATGTGTGAGTACTTGATCTACCAGACCAATGACATATCTCCTCTAAATTTCCAGAGAGAAATTCTTTATTTTAATTTTTCAAAACTTGACATTTTCTTGGCACATAAATCTGTTGTTTGTATCATTAGTATTAAATGGCAGTTGAGAGAAAACAATTGTGAAAATAAGCAAGATAACCAATGTTTTCTATTTTAAGTATCTTCAGAGATCTTCTGGAGTAACACTTGCAGACATTATGGACTAAAATGAGCTACCAAAGTTAAAATGTCCAGTTCTTCAGGGGTGCTGACAGTTGTTATTCCTATTGGCCTGAGTAGGAATTTTGAGCTTATAGCACCTTTGAGCACCAAGTAAGTTTTATTTAAGTAGTTGCTTTCTAGGCACTCATCTGAAGGAAAAAAAAAAAAAAAGACTGACTATTTAGTGTAATTTTATGAAAATGAGTGTGACTTGCACTTTGCATTCACATCTTAGAAGCATGTCTGTGCTTAGAAAAGCACCCTGGAATCTCCCAAAATCAATCTGAAGTGAAAATTCCTTAATGAACATAGAATTTACTACAAGCGGTGTACTAAAAGTGCAAAGTAATTCCAGAATACCACCAGTGCATAAGTAAGCATTCCTTGTAAATAAGTAATTCATTAATAGAAAGAGGATATAAATAAATGATGTTTGAGACTTCTTTCAAATACTAAGAGTTCTTTATATGATACGTTTTGGAACATTCCACAGCATCTAAAATATATAAAAATAAATATCTACAGTATTTACAAAGTATGATACAATCCAATCTTTAAAAAGACTTCTAAAGACATGTTCTTTTAGCTCATACTGAGGTAAGTAGGTTTCCATAAGACTGAGAAGAAATAGAAGAGGCAGTCGTTTTGCAGGAATCCCTTTGTCCAGTTGTTCTAGTCTGTAACACAGCTAAAAAACTGTGGCATTCTCAGGTGGTAGTACATGTATTAAGCCAAAGTCATCCTTGCTGTAATTCCATCGAGGTAAATTTAGTTATGCTAGGGACAAATTTATCCCACTCTGCATTCTCTGTGTTGCCAGTGCATTCTGCAGAAATTCTCACTGCTTCGTCTAAATTTGAAGTCATGTTCATCCCTGGTATGTGGAGATGCAGTTCCACTGACTTCAACGGGCTGAGTGTAGCTGTGATACCTGTAAGATAAGGATTTTAAGATGAAGTTACTGCTTGTAGCTGGTTCACCAGCTGGCTGGCTCACCCTGTGATTGGCACTTTCTCTGAACAGTATAGAGACATGGTGATCTATTAACAAAACGGCCTGCCAAAAAAATCATTCAAATTGCACTTCAAATTTTAAGCAAATACTTCTTGACTGAAGCTTAAGGGCATTTCTGATGCATAAACTTTATTTTTTTTTTAAACTTTAAAACATTTTAAATGTGTTCTACTACTTATTTAACATGTGCTACTTGGTAAATTGCCCTGTCTTCCTTATCCAGGTGCTATTGTGATCAGTGGAGTACTACAGGTTCAGTTGTCAATACAGGACAGGAAGGAAAAGGAGAATTAGTGTATAGATCACTGCAATCCTATTGTCGGTTAGTCTTTGCTAGATTTAGAAGAGCTTTACTGCACATACAGACCGTGACTTTGCAAGACTAATACTTGTATAGCTGAAACAGAGCTCAAGGGTGAAGAAGATGTATACCTCATCTTAACACTCTGCCAGAAGTTCCATGCCTAGAACCCTTTTCCTTGCCAGCCTTGTCTCCTTTGTTTGAAATTTATTCTCAAGTATGCAACTTTATTTCTCAGTCTGGGAAAGGCATCTTTTAATCAAAGAAATCATAGAGTCTTAGGATAGTTGGAGCATTTCATAAGGACTTCAGTTAAGAACAGGTTTATAGGAAAGCTCCACTGGTTACAGGAGTGTCTTCACTGATCTGGAGCAGACGACAATCTGTACCTGATTCCAAAACAAGACTTTTTATTTTTGTAACCTGTTTTTCAAAGGACTGGGTCTCTCCACTACCCCAGCACTTTCAATGGGAGTATATGATTACCAGAAAAAGAGGAATACCATGCTTGCCATTAAGACTGCACATAAGATTCAATTCAAGTTTAAGAAACCTGATTTTAAGCATCAACACATAAGACAATTTAGGTGTCTAAATTTGTGCTCAGTGGAAAGCTGACCAACATGGTTACAATGTGGAGAGTAGACAGTGGTTAATGGCCAGGTACCTACTCTGGAGTGTGTCAAAAGGCTTTTTAGGCATTGTTGACTGTGTTTACAGGGGCTCAGTACAGCTAGCAAAGCATTAGTGTCCTTTTTAAACACTTGGGCATAGGAGTGTGCCCATCTGCCCATTAGAGATGGCAAGTGTAACAGAGGATCTATGTGCTCCTGGACCAGCAACTGTAGGACAAAAAGAGTACCATAAACCTGTAGGGTAAAAAGAGTACCATAAGGAGTCTCAGATACCTGTGTTTATGTAACCTAATCAAAACTATATCTCTTTTGGGTGCTTATACACATAGAGCACCTATTTGTACCTACATTTATGTATTTTCATCTTGAATTTAAATCCCACTCTAAAGTCCTAAAGGAAAAAGCTCCTCTTCTTAATACAGAAGAAATTTGTATCTGGGTTTGGTTTCCAACATGTTAGTATCTATTGCTTTAGACATTGTGGAGTGTCCAATCCAGACTTCAGCTTTTACTCTAGAAAGGTACCTACTAGAATCCTATGTTTGGGCAAGTAACCTTAATAGTTTGAAACAGAAGTGTCTAAGTGAGTCACCCTGTGAATATTCTACAGTAAATGGAGGGAACATATGTCTTCAGAGGTAATTTATTTCTTCCTTTTTAGATATTACTTTCAGGAACAGACTGGCTGTCCTTGGACATACCAATTTCTTTTCTCTAGTATATATATAGCTATATAGTCCTAGCCTGAGATAATTTCTAGACAGCTAAAGTTCACACCCTTAGGAGAAGAAGGATGAATCCCATTCCTTGTAAAGTCCAACTGAGATATAATGTATAATGTACTGAGAAATATCAAATAATAAATTATATGTCATTTTCCATTTTTTTTTTTCACAAAGCTATGGAATTGCACAATCATTTCAGTGTCTACCTAGAATTGTGAAAACTTGAAGAATGTCTGCCTTTCATTTTAGACTATAATCATCTGTTTATCAATCTGTATTAGAGAAAAATCAAGACTGGTATCCCAGCTGATCCTCAATACATACAACAGGAAAAGGATTAAAAAATAAAAATAAAAACATGAGAACAAAAATTCGTGTGACTTTCTTATTGGATCAGCCCAATCCACATCAGAATGTCTGGTGAGCAGATATTTGGCTGGTGAAAAAGTAAAGGATAGGTAGTACAGGTAGTAGGCTGTTCAGGTAGTACAATCTGCACACCCAATTTTGGCTAAAAGAGATATCTGCTATAAAATATTCCACAACTTCAGAGAATTAGCTTTGAATAGAATATACCTCTTCATAAACACATTGCAACTCTGTGGAAAATTATTTTCACTCTTTTAGGTACCTGTTCTTTATATACTTAGGAGACTAAAGAATGCAAAGATACAAAGAAAATATTTAAATAAAATACTTTTACCCTACTCTCTCCCCAACTGCAACTCAATTTTTTAAAGAAATTATATGAGATTCTGATTCACAATATAATCAATAATATAAATTGTAGCATACTCTGTAAAATACACTTTATAAATTACTTTTCTTACTGTCAGTTCTTAATTGTGAACACCTTTCTCTCATTGTGTTCTGCTTAGATTCAAAGATTGTTCTATGCACAATTACATTTTAATTTCATGGCATCAAAAAACATAGGGACAAGTATACTACCAGTGGGTAATAGGTGCAGTACCGTTTGCTGGAATTGTGTTTATGTTGGTCAATACAACATGTTCTGAAAGTTTTGAAACATTATCAAAATTGCTGATCTGGGTGGTCAAGGATTTCCGACTCTCTGTACTGGCACGACCTCTGGTAAGCCGTTCATCTTGGTGACTGTGAATGCCAAAGATGCAACAAGAAAATGCTGCTTTAAATTCTTCTCTAAATTTCCCTGTTACACACAAAAGAAAGATTCATGAAAATTTTTACTGTAAACCATTTTTCAACCAACTTTATAGATTAGAAAGAAACAGCTATCTAATGCAAATTTAATCCAGAACATTCAGATGTTTTTTCTAATGCCACTAAAGTAGGAAATCACAACTTCAACAACTTAGAGAATGACAGAAAAAACATAACCTTTGTAAGAAGATATGTTAGGTGTGGTATGAAGTCTAAATTATTCTTGGCTAGACAGGATGGACAAAGTAGAATGACTTATGAAATTATGGTGTTGATAGTTAGTTGATTCACAACCCATTTAACAAAAACAACCAATTGAGCAATAGTAGGCTTAAATAACTGGATCATTGCTTGACATGTGAAATGAGAAACATAATTAATCCATATTTAAACTTCAATACGTTTTAAAAGAAAATTCAAAGTGTTCAACAGCCCATTAGTCTGCTTTCAGAGCTCAGGGTAAATTGTTCAGATCATCCTCACATTACACACCACAAAAAACACAGAGGGCAAATGTGTAGTGAGGATTAAAAAAAATTTGCCTCCCTGCATTTGGCTCTAATACTACCAGTTTAGGTCCTGTTTCTGCCATTCATAGCCAAATAAGGCAAATACAAACTAAGATAGTCTATTAAGTGAGTAATATCCTGATTGGTTCTTTGGCCTTGAATCTAGTTGGTACAGTCTGGCCATGCAGGTGTTACTAAACACTCACAGCTTCCAAAATCTGATAGCTTCATATAAAATGCCAACTGGGGACAGCTCTTGGCCTGTGATAACTCTCAGAGAGTATCCAGAGATTTAGGGAAACAGTACTTGTTTCAGATCAAAGTCATGTCAGTGACTTCTCTAAAAAATTAATGGCATGGGCAGTCAAATTCAAGCACTTGGACTCAGGCCCTGACACTAGGTTAGTTATAGGTAGATAGCCTGTAGGTAATGGGATACATTAGGCAACTTGTTCCAAGAAGAGGATCTAGCTCCCACTGGAGGAGCTCTACTGATGTTACACAGTCATTAATTTTATTTGCTATGGCTCATTACTTATAAACTACGCATTAAACTTGAGTTCAAGGTAACTTACCACTGAGGAAGTTATAAATAATAGGATTGGCTGCACTGTTTGCGTATACAAGCCAGTGTGAGAATGTGAACCAGGCATATACAGTTTCTCTGTCATCAGCATGATTAAACATCCCAAAAACCCTAAAGAAAAGAAAAGCAAATCTGAAAGATGCCAAATCATATAAAAAGAGGTCATCACAAGTTCTAGCCTCATATTCTCTCTGATTACTTATTTGTCACAGAAAAGCTGATTCAACACTTCTTGTTCTCTTGAGAGAACAAATTCTTCTCCCTATACCTCAAAATCTTTTCTTGGTGTTTTTGCACAATAGAGAGACTATAGACACATAAGTATGTTACTTTGCAACAGTGCAGATATAGGACTTGTCTGATAAGTAGACAAAGTTAGTGGCTGTTAGATAAAACAAAAAAAAACATGGGAAAAGTCTCTTTTGACCAGTTAATGTCATTGACGTTTCCAGCTCTAGGCCCATTCTCCAACAAACAGGGTCTCTGGAATTAGAAAAGCACTGAACTGGTCCAGAACTGAGGTATTGAGGCTACAATAACAGCTTCTGTCCTAGAGAAATCTGCTTTACACAGGTTCCTTACACCTAATTTAGCTATTTAAACAGAAATCTAACTACAGGCCTTCTCTGCTACTGTAGTTGAAACTGCCTTTGTAGTTACTCTGTGTAACTACATAGAGTTCAGATCAGAGGTAGCCTGAGCTGCTGTATGGAAATAATTATTTCTCTCTGCATTATCTACCAAGGGACCCAAGGATGAAAAGTACTTAAATTAGACCTCAGGAAAGTGCCAGAAATGAGTGGGATGTATTGCAGCTTTTGTATACAACTCGAAACTACTCCTTAAAAAATTAAATATTCCTCAAGCACCAACAGAAGTGTTTCTTTTTTTAGGATGCTTTGCCTCTTGAAATCAGCTAATGGCTTCCAGATAAAATCTGCTATATGTCATTACTTATTGGCATGCTAGAGGTCTCAAGAGATGTAACTATATCAAAACCTGTCAAGCACTGTACAAAAAGCAGAGTGTAAACAATTACATCTTAAATGAGCTGGAGAGAAAAGGGTAAAAAAGTGAAAAGGAGATTCCTGGAGAACTAAAGGATTAGCCTAAAATTAGACTGAAAATTGGATCTCAAAACTGTGTATGATGAAGCTTGGGTACAGTCCCTGGGGCCAAACCACAACGCTATTCTTTCTTGATAACCTTCAGCTTCTGCTTTAGGGAAATGAACTTCCAGGGTTCATTTACAGCAAACATGCTGTAATCCCATCTAAATTACAGGTTTTAATGAGGAGATAGGTTAAGTAATTTTCATGAGGAAGAGCTTATTAATAAGGCTTGTACTGTCTGGCCTACAGTTTCAATACTGCAGATAAGTTAGATACATCTTTTTCTTGCAACTGTACGCTTATTTTCAGTTTCATTATCATGAAATAGGTAGGTTTCTTCAAAAGTATCTGTCAGAATAAGTGGAATCTCATAACATGGGGTTGTATTTAGACAGGAAGTGTTTACATTTTGGGATAAACTTTACCTTTTCAAGACATTCAGGATGCTAATTGGTAGATAGCAAAGTGCAAAAACCAGGAGGACAACCATTAACATACGTGCTGTTTTCCTTCTTGCACGAATCTGTTTTATTTCAGCTGCAACAGCACTGATCTTTGACTTTGTTGACTGTCCCAGCCCTCGCTGCTGTGCTGAGGGCTGCAGAGACTTCCATTTTTTCTGAACTACTGAAGAAGTTCCTGGGATCTAAACAACACAAAACAAGGGACATCCTCAAAATTAGCACTTTGAAAAAATAGCACTGTGGTATCTATAACAAAGAAAATAGATATGTATATATAGACATGTATATATAGACATGTAATAGACATGTATATGATTGACATATGTTGACATATACAAGGTAAGCTTGTATGGAAAATGTGGTGTTTTTTGTTTTTTTTTTTTTGTTTTTTTTTTTTTTTTATAAATAAATTAACTGATGTAGATGGAAGAATCAAACCAGATTTCAGACACACTTGAAGGAGTGCACAAAAAATTGTTTTGTCCAAATATACCAACTGCTGCATTAAAATTATCCTCACTTCCCACTTAATTTGCCTTGCTTATATCTTCAAACTATCATACTTACCAACATCTTTTGACTACATACTTACTACTACTATAGTTATGTTGCTATGAAAATCCATCTATCTATGTTTGCTGTATGGCAATGGATTATCCTATTACTTTGTTACTACTTTAAGATATTAAACAATTTCTCAACATTGAAAAGCTAGGATTGAATGCCCACATAAGTTTAAGAGCTATAAAAATATCAAATATACAATCCGAAAGACAATGCAACAGCTAAAGAGGCCACAGCTAAAATGTGGATCTCCATGCAATGCTCTTCAAAACTGAATGAATACATAGTGAGGTATGGGAGAATCACAAAAGAGTTCCAAGACAAGAAGAGTTAAGTTAGCCAAAGACACCATGAAATGGGTAGACGTAGCACCAAGCTATTAAAAAAAATAAATACCTTAGTCTTTGCTTTGTGTGCACTCATACAAGACAGGCCAAATAAAGAATTTTGCTTCAGTATATCAAAATTATTTCCTGCCTTCAGCCTCATTCTTAAGACTACAAATGGCAAGGACTTTCTCAGAGAAATCAATGACATTTATAATGTTTTCAACATCGTACATTGTGAAAAGCTTTTGGGTAGAAATTTCGTTTTATTCATAAGTAGTGCAATTGTCTGCAGGTTAACAAGTCCCATGAGAGTAAAAATGTTCATATTTAAAATTATCTGCAGAATTCATATCCTCTATTGTAGAATTTCAAAAAGTAGGGCTAATCCTCAAGAAGTGCCCAGAACAGAATGAGATTTTTGATATATTTTTTATTTTTTCAGAAACAAACAAACAAAAACAAGTTAAAGTGTTTTTAAACACTTTGTAAACACATTTATTCTAAACACATTGTTTTTAAACACATTTATTCTAAAATTAAAGTATGCACATGCAGAATTGTTCTATAATAGCTATTATGCATTTTTTCATGAATAGTTTCCTTGCACAGACAAGCGCTTAATTTAGCATTTATGTGCACCATCAGACCTGATTTACAACTATTGGAATCTTTTGGCAAAGTTGTTTTATAATGAACAGTAAATCAATGAAGCAGAACAGGTAGATATTACCTTTATTATAATTATAATTATTAATTATTTAAATTTAAGTTTTTAATTTTTAATTTTAATTTTTTTAAAAAAGAAAAAAAACAAACAAAAAAACAAACAAACAAACAAAAATGTGCACGTGTTCTGAGGATTCCCACTCATTCAGCTAAATAAGTAAGACAGTTTTATACCTGGACATGTTTTGTCCTATTCCAAGGGATTACACATACTTTGCTCTAGCACTGCAGTGTGTCTTTGCCATGCACTACAGGGATCCTAAGCTAAGATTCTGATTCTGTCTTATCAGTGGTATTTTATTTTCCCATTCTAAATTAGAAATGTAAACTTTTTATTCCTCTTCACTCATACCTCGAGTACTGTGTTCAGTTTTGGGCCCCTCGCTACACGAAGGACATTGAGGTGCCTGAAAGAGCACAGAGAAGGGCAACAAAGCTGGTGAGGGGTCTGGAGAGTAAGTCCTACGAGGAGCGACTGAGGGACCTGGGTTTGTTCAGCACCAAGAAAAGGAAGCTCAGGGGCGACCTTATCACTCTATAAGTACATTAAAGGAGGCTGTAGCGAGGTGGGGGTTGGTCTATTCTCCCACGTGCCTGGTGACAAGACGAGGGGGAATGGGCTAAAGTTGCGCCAGGGGTGTTTTAGGTTGGATATTAGTAAGAACTTCTTTACCGAAAGGGTTGTTAGGCATTGAAATGGGCTGCCCAGGGAAGTCCCCATCCCTGGAGTTCTTTAAAAGATGTTTAGATGTTGAACTTAGCGATATGGTTTAGTGGAGGACTTTAGAGGTTGGACTCGATGATCTTGAGGTTTCTTCCAACCTAGACAATTCTGTGATTCTGTGATACCAGATTACCATTTATCTGAATTATCATTCAGATAATGGAAATGGAAGCAGAGAAACTCAGCCAAATCTCTCCTGACCTATCTCTCCTGATTATGCCAAAGATTCACTAGAAGAATACTGCGACCAGCCTAGTAGCTAGATGCAACTTCAGTGAAGTTTCTCAGAACAGCTATTTCTACAGAAATGTTAGACATGACAGTGTACATGGCTTCTACATGTCTGTGTAGGTAGAAGAGTCTTTTCTGCTATTTCAGCAGTATTCTATAGCTTATCAATCAGGTGATCAAAGGTAGGGACTCTGAGAAACTTTCTACTGAACCTTTTTTCCTTTGTCTTTACCTGGCAAATAACAGGGCTTTGCTACTGGTAGTACACTAACCAATAATACAGTAAGAATTTTATCAGGAAAAAAAAAAAAAGTGCTATATACTCACAGATGCATAGCTGAATGAGTACCTTCTAAGGGACATAACACTTCGTGTTTGTGTACAGAGAGACATTTACAAATAGGCATTTATGTAAACCAACAAACATGCATTATGCATGTACAAGTATACAAATGCAATACATAATACATAATTATGTAATATGTAATAATACATAATGAATGTATTTGTTTTGGTTGTTGAATCAGTTATAGAGATAGTTATGTAGAATTTGTATAATCCCAAAATTTCACTAAGAGGCCTCTAGCTGTGTCGAAACAAATACTAAGATTTGCATAGTTACTTTCTGAGGCACCTTTCCTCTACCTCCTCAAATTATTATCAATTATTATTATAAATTATTATTATCAGTTATTATAAGCAGACAAAATCTTTCCAAATGCAAAAACTGTTTGTAAAGATTAGAAGGGAATATTTCAGCTGCCAAAATAAAAATGGGCAGGGATCCTAGTTATTAATATAAATAGACTTTAGTGTCAATGCATTTGGACATCAATAAAAATGAGTATACAAGACTTGATAATATGAATTATGTATCAACACTTTTACCATAAGTCCATTCAGTCCTATTTATTTGTTCAGATGGCATTTTTAATCCACTCAAAAACCACAAGAGAACACTGTCTTCTAAGTCACCATTTCCTTTCTAATAATTAAAATAAATTACTCGAAATCTTAATGTTTGTGGCATGATTGTGTTTGCCTTTGCACAGATGAATCACTAAATCAAAGATTGCAAATCTTATATGTAAAGATGTGCTTGAAGACATAATCAGTAATATTAAGAGCTCTTGCACAAAGTATCATGTGGATACCTTGTAAATTTTTCTTTAGTCATCTGAAACTTAGCACTCACAGCACACTCCATTAAAAAAAAAAAAAAAGAAAAGAAAAAAAGAGAATTCTTAGAAAACTGTAACACAGAAAGCATTTAGTTTTTGAGCTTTTTTTTTGGTCACATACACCTGGAAGGCTCTTTGCACCTTGCAATAGGATCACTACATTTAACTGAAGTTCTCATAAACAACATGGTTTCTTAATTGAAGGCATTATCAAATAATATACTTACAGCACTGTGTTCATTTGCTCTACATGACTGATTATGGCACACCTGCTGCACTTAGACAAATGCCTGATGTCTGCAGCCAAGTCACAGTTGTTAATAGCTCCGTTCTGCAGCGGAGCGGGAGATCGGACAGGCAGGGCTAATTTTTCCATCACCGAGCCCACTCGAGGGAGCTAGCGGGCAGCCCTCGCGAGGGAGGTGAACGAGGCGAGAACGAGGCGTAGGCGGAGCCAGGAGCGCCTCCTCCCCGGCCGTTCAAAAGCTGCCCCTAGGGAGCGCAGTGACCAGGATGGGCAAACAGGGCGTGGTGCGTCAGGAGGGAGTGGTGCGGCAGTTAGCACAGGCAGGACGAGCAGCAAGGGCAGAGCGTTCCCCCCCGCCCATACGAACACCTCCTCTAACGGCGTTTGTTGGGTCTCCTCTTGGAGGCAAAGGAGAGTGAGAGAGCAGTTGTGGTGGAGCTCGGCAGCCCACCTGAGTAAAACCACCACACGGCAGTCTACCATTAGCTCAGCTACAATGGTGTACACCAGGCACAGCGCGCTCTCCGGGAAGTCTGTACACACCCAGACTGACTGCCTGCTCAAAACTGCAGCAGTTCAGATCTCCAGGTGCAGGGAGTGCCTGAGTCTGTTGCTACTACCTGCGGGTGGCAGAGAGACTTTGTGCATGAGGTGCGAGCAGGTGGATGACCTGGTCCACCTTGTGGCAGAACTCAAGGAGGAGGTCGAGAAGTTGAGGGCTATCAGGGAGTATGAGCGGGAGATAGACTTGTGGAGCAACTCCCTGTGGGTCCTGAAGGACAGGTACCGGGGTGAGACACCCAGATGGGGGTGGACCCCTGCCCTGTTGCTGTGGGGCAGAGGGAGGGGACCTAGGAGTTGAGGAGGAATGGAGACAGGTCCCTGCTCGACATTGCAGGTGATGCCCCCAGCTTCTGGCCCCACTTTCCCAGGTGCCCTTATGCAACAGGTTTGAGGCCCTGGAGCTTGAGAGACTGGTAGCTGAGGAAGAGGTAGAATGTCTACCCAGGAGGATGCCTAGGGCAAGGAAGTCGACTCCTCACCTCAGGACTGCCTCCACCAGGACAGAAAGAAGGGTGATTTTTGTGGGCGACTCCCTTCTCAGGGGAACAGAGGGCCCTATTTGTCAGCCTGACCCTACCCATAGGGAAGTCTGCTGCCTCCCTGCGGCCAGGGTCAG